ATCTATAAACTAACAACAATGCTGTTACCATGTAGCAATTCTGTAAGGTTTCTTCATATTCAATCCATTTAGTTGAACTTGTGTCTTGTTTAAACCGAAGCTTAAATGTTTTTATCCACTCATTTAATTCAAAAAAGCCATTTCCTTGTGTTGCTACAGCAGTGATGGCTCGTACAGCACCAAGGTCCAGCTGTAAGTAATCCTCAGGGTTATCATTATCACGTGGTGACCATCCAAATGGGCCGTAAAGCCTTGCACCGTGTGGAACGTATCGCCTGTCCCAGAATAGTTTTCCAGTCACGTCATCTCTTCTCTGTTTGCTGTCATATAAGAACGAAGAGGCTGTATAGGCACTGTTAGAAATGTTTAGACGATTCTCACCAACAAGAGATCTTTCGATGCATCCTATCAAGATAAATGATTGACATTGCTTCCTGGTACAGGGTTACAAGCCTGATAGTATAGCCCTTAATAAGATAGTTTAATGGGAACAATTTATCCTATATGACCTGTAATAAGCAATTTAAGTAGTTTTTAAAGTATAAAACACATTTTATAAGCATACTTTTAAAACCTTACATGTCAGCATTGACCAAGGGAAATAGATTCGATTCGAAGGGTTGATCCATTAGAATTTGATGGGGGAATGAAGATTTTGAAAACAAAACAAAACAAAAAAAAATCCTGCACGGGCCGAAGTGCCAAAAAAAATCCTGCAAGGTAAAATTTTGAAAAATATCCACTAAAGCTTTTGTAAATTTACAAAAGAAGTAACATGCGCGCGTCTGATGTCCAAAAAAAGTCTTGCACCAATTTGATCTTCTAACCCCCTCCCTCAAAAGTCTAATGGATCGCCCCTAACGTGTCCTCAAACAAAAAAGCGAATAAACATGTTTACAAAAGTCACGCTTACCACATAATAGAAAAAACGCGGACTCAAGACTCCTCCCACGCCTCAAAATTAGTTCACATAGTGATTTGCGCTCTTTTCTGCTCAGTTTCTGCTATTTCTTCTCTTCTCTAGCTATTTATTGTCAAAATTGGGCAGCCAAATGTTGTATATAAATATGCTCCGAAACACTAAACATTAATCTTTCAAATAACACTAAACATTAAAAAAAAAAAGCAATTTAACGCAAAACACTATAAAATAAGGCTTTATAACACTGATACTATACCCATTCTGACCCTCTTACTAATATGCTATTTTCTTTGCACATTATTTCTATGTTTATATTCATCAAGACTGCCGGGATAAAATAACATTGTCCCCATCTGAAATCCCAATCTCATATGTGTTGTGCTGAATGTTATGATATGCATGGAAACAATTTTTTTGCATTGAATTACATGAATGAATTCAAATAAATATGTATTGTATTGATAGTAGTTATAGGGGTTATTTTGCTGCTTGAAGATTTTGTCTGTGAATATATACATCAATAATCACTACATGAAAGTTAGGAAGCCTCCCTTAAAAGGTGAAAAAGACTTTGAAGCCTCATTTGCGAAGAGCTTTGCATGCCCCTTAAAATCTTCCCGCTGCAGGGGCCCGGGATTTCAATTGACTGATGGATAATTTGTCCAAAATAAATTCGATGAACATAAGCCAGGCCAAAAAAGCTCGTTTTAATCTGCTAGCTAAAGCTTGTTAGGTTATCTTTTTTATGAAAAATCCATTATGAAACGAAACGTACTAATGGAAATCTAAATTCAAAGACTCGTTGATGTGGGATTGAAATTGAACAAGATATGGATTTTTTTTTTCAACTATTGATTTTTTCAATTTTATCACATAAATTGAAGATGCAGAAGCTGAAAAACATCTTGATGATTTATTACACATAACAAGCACAAGTAACATCAAAGTCGTTTTTTGACCATAAAAACGTTACAAGCCTTTTTTGTACCTTGAAAACCTTTCCCAGGAACAAATTCATACAAAAACAGTTATTTAGCAGAACAGACCCCGTCAACTCCTGAAAGGTTTTGTCTTTACAATTAGGTTAAGATGAGTTAGCCACCTCTTGCATCTGGGTTCGTTTTTAGTGAACTTTGCGTTGCTACAGTTGACTCGACTCGATCGCTTGCGCTTGTTTTATAATTAAGGTTAATAGTGTGTTTTCTTATGCTTCGAAACGGGGGTGATCTGGCTAATTTTCTGCTTGAGAAATCTGGTTTTACGCCCCCCCTTCTCCTGGTAGTCCCTTATCTGGTATTCTTCGTTTGCACGTTACGTCATAGATCCCAAAACAGTCCGGAACATTACCAGTTTTGGTAATATCATTTCTATCACAAAATGGCGGCTGAAGCTTTTTCCGAACCCTCTCCATTTTAGCCCCTAATACTCAAATAAAGCTCCAATCCCATGAACCTTTGCCCGCCAAGGCTTTCTAGTATAACAAACGAAGCCATAGCTGTGAAGTATTGTATAAGACAAGTATACGTTTTCAAAATATTCGAGTTTTTATGCTGCTTCTTTGCGATTTTTCGACTAGTTTCACATACTAAAGCGATTTTTAAAGTATCTTTGCCCCCGTAGTTGRCAATTTGGCCCACCTAGAGGCAATTTAGAGYGGTTTTACTGTCTATTACAGTTGGTTTYGTGTTGAGGCATAACGGAACTTTTTGAGGCATCCTCTTTAAAGTTGTAAAAGCTATTAATCGAAAGGAGCGATGGAGAGCATCGCAGATTCCTCGATAAAAGATGTTGTATCTGTAGTGTTTCCTTGATAGAAAGTCACAATGATCACAAGTCAASAAAGAAAAGAAGAAAATACGGCAAGACTTAATATTTTATGTGAAGGAATTCAACGATGCTGGGGCATTTTATAAACATTGAGGAGGAAAGCAGCGATAAAATGGAGACGTTGGGATTGGTGCTAAGTGTGCTAAGTATCTTTGATAAATATTAAAATACACTACTCTTATCATGTGTTGTGCTGTCATTATAACAGTTATAAACTACTAGAAGATTTTTACTAAGGAATGAATTCGTTATACTTGAAGCTAAGAAAGGGAAAACTCAAATCACCTTGATAACAATCGAACGTGCGTTTCTGTGACGGTTCGGGACTACTCGTGGGCTTTAACTGCCTTAAATCGGCCCTCTTTCGAAGCGTATATTATTTGTTCAATTGATAGAAAGAGCTTCATGTGTGTAGATTAGGGTTTTGATTTAACATTTACTTGAT